ACAGAACAATTATTGATAAAATTCATATGGAATCACCAAAAACCCTGAATAGCCAAAGCTCTCCTGAAGAAAAAAAAAAAAAAAGAAGGGAATGGAGGCATCATACTCCCAGACTTTAAACTATACTACAAAGCCACAATCATCAAAACTGCATGGTATTGGAACAAGAACAGACACACAGACCAATGGAATCGAATAGAAAATCCAGAAATAAACCCACAGATTTATGGTCAACTAATCTTTGACAAAGGAGCAAAGACTATGCATTGGAGCAAAGAAAGTTTGCTCAATAAATGGTGCTGGGAAAACTGGGTCGCTACATGCAAAAGAATGAAGCTTGACCACTACCTCACACCATACACAAAAACCAACTCAAAATGGATTAAAGAACTAGACATAAGACCTGAAACCATAAAATACATAGAAGGAAAGATAGGTGAAACACTACGTGATATTCACATCAAAGACATCTTTACAGACACATCACCCAAAGCAGTGATAGTGAAGGCAAAGATAAACAGCTGGGACTACACCAAATTAAAGAGCTTCTGCACAGCAAAAGAGACAATAACCAAAACAAAGAGAAACCCCGCCAACTGGGAGAACATTTTTGCACACAACACTAATGATAAAGGACTGATCACAAAAATCTGCAAAGAGCTGATGAGACTCAACAACAACAAAGAAAATAATCCTGTCAAAAAATGGGCAGAACAGCTGAAAAGAAACTTCTCTGAAGAGGAAATGCAAATGGCCAACAGGCATATGAAAAAATGTTCAACATCACTTGTAATCAGGGAAATGCAAATCAAAACTACCATGAGATACCATTTTACACCAGTGAGAATGGCACATAATAAAAAAAAACAGCAACAAAAAATGTTGGTGAGGATGTGGAGAAGAAGGAATTCTCCTGCACTGTTGGTGGGAGTGCAAACTGGTCCAACCACTATGGAGAGCTGTGTGGAGATTTCTGGACCTACTAAACATAGAGCTTCCATATGATCCAGCAATTCCACTCATAGGTATTTACCCAAAGGACACAGAAACATGAACTCAAAAAGAGCACCTGCACCGCTATGTTTATAGCAGCACTGTTTACAATAGCTAAGCTTTGAAAACAACCCAAATGCCCAAAAATAGATGATTGGATCAAAAAGATGTGGTACATATACACCATGGAATATTACTCAGCATTCAAAAAAGATAAACACATGCAATTTGCAGCAACATGGATGGCGCTGGAAGGGATGATGCTCCATGAAATAAGCCAGAAAGAAAAAGAAAATACTGGATGGTCTCACTCATAGCAGGAATCTAGAAAACTTAAATAAGGGACCAGGAAAATGAAAATTATAGAAAGTGAAAATCAAAATCAACAAAAAACTATGAACCAGAGACACTCTATGAGGGGTGGGGTGTGGGGAGGGGAAGAATTGGGGTCAAAATAAGGGGTTGCAATTGTATGGGGAATATAATAATAAAATTTATAAATAAATAAATAAATAAAATGGTTTGATTTAAAAAAAAAAAGATTTATTTCCAGGGTACATAAAACATTTACAGCAGTTAATATTTCTCTGGGCCACAAGCAAATCTCGATATTTTCTAACAATTTGAAATCATTTTGAAAACAAGATAATGCAAACTAAGGGAACAAAAATATACAAAGGATAAGAAATTGATTACACTGAAGTTAGCAAAATGGTTGGAGGAGGAGGGATTTGGATGGAAAGGGAATTTCTAGGCAACACATTTCTATGCGTCTGTCCATGTCTTTTTTCTTTTTTTACATGAGTGGTGACTGTGTGAATTTTATATTCATTTGATATAAAAAATTCTTCACGAATTTTATAACATTTTGTAAAAATATGGCTACCACAAAGGGGAAATGCCTCAGATGCCTTAGTATTACCTATATATGTAGGAGAAAAGAAAGCTCACCAAAATAGACACTTAGCTAAGTGTCTAGCTCCCAATTGTATGTATCCTGTCAAGAAATTCCCTGCAAAGCGAAAGGTAATTGCTGGACCTATGACCACCTAACACCAAGAAAAAGGCTTGACACTTGTTGGTCACTATGGATTTGGGAGAGAATCCATATTTGTGTGTGCTGTTCTAGTACACGTAACCATTTGACAATAAACCTTGTAAGCCAAGATAAGCTAAGCACAAGAAACAGACTCTCTAGCTCATCCAGAATGCAGATTGTTTGATAGAGAATATTTAATTATGGAAAATCATCACAAATGGTGCTAGCTTATTCATCAAGGCAAACTTTTAAGCATTTTAAATAGGATTGAGCATAAACTCATTTCATGAGGAGATGACTCACAATCCAGTGTGCTTCTTCCTATCACAATGCCTCCTCTCCCTCAACCCCCTCATCCTTCTGGAGAGTTCCCTCTGACTAATTTTCTCAGAAAGGAAAGAAAATGAGCTTGTATTACAGATGGCACTACTCATTTTTTTGGCAACAGCCAGAGATGGACTGTAAAATATCATAGCTCTACTCAGAAGTAGTTCTGAAGGTCTGTAAAAAATGTTAACTTTAAACTGTATATTCATACTATACAATCTGATGATTCCCTTTGCCTGGAAGAAAAAAATGGCTTAAGAAATGGCTTTAGAAATCTACATAAATTCAGTCAGTATCTTATGGTGTGACTAGATGGTCAATGACTTGAAAGAAAAGGGACTGGAAAATCAATATCAAGAAAGACTGGAGCTGGAAGGGATCATGCTTAGTGAAATAAGCCAGAAAGAAAAAGAAAAATACCGGATGGTCTCACTCATAGCAGGAATTTAGAAAACCTAAATAAGGGATCAGGAAAAAGACTAATTGTAACAAAGTAAAAATCAAAATCAACAGGCAACTATAAACCAGAGACACACTACAGGGGGGGAAGAAGGGAGTAGGATCAAAACAAGGGGGGTGGGAATTTTACGGGGAGGATAACAAAAATGAAAATGCACATTGTACAAAGATAAAAAATGATGTAAAACATATATAAAATAAACTAAAAAAAAAAGATTGGGAAAGTGGTATTAAGCTATACCTCTCAGGATAGAGTGTGAAGATACTTGCTTCTCTTGTGGGTAATCTCCACTGAGAGTTTATTCATTGCACTACAAGCTTCCTTATTATGTAATCAACCAATCCCACCTCCTACTTACCATTCAAGTATACCTGTTATATTGATTTTCGTATTTACCAAATCCTTGGTTTGTTTTCACTTTTACCCCGTATGTACCTAAATAATATAAGCATATTTTGCAGATGGGCTCCCTTGTTAAAGTTAATCCCACAAAACAACATTTTAACACCCACATTTCTTAGATCTCTTTTTCTCTCAATTCATCTTTGATTAGATGATGTTTATATAGGAAATACATAAATTTCTGTGGGTTCAGATGTGGTTTTGTCAATATAAGCTCAAATCATCAATGCATATGAGATTCCATTTATCTATATCTCCCACAATCCTTGGTATTATCTGTTTCTTAGTTTTTGCCATTAAAATGGGTATGAAATGGTATTATATTATTATAGTCGCTACTTGTGATTATCAAATTATGAGTGAAGATGATGAACATCTTTATAAAAACGTGTTTAGTGGATTATGTATTTTATCTTCTGTGAAATACTTTTCAAATATGTTACTCTATTGTCATTCTAATTGATTTGTGACAGTTTTTTATGCTTTTGCTATTAATACTGTGTTAGTTATAAGTATTTGAAATATCTTCTCCCAGTTCAATTTTCAGGTTCTTTAATTCTAGCTAAAGTTCATCATTTTATTTTTTTTTAAATATTTTTTTAAAGATATTTATTTATTTATACAAGCACTAGGTATAGTCAGAAGCACGGGAGGGTGAGAGAATTCACCAGAGCCAGAGCGGGGAGCAGAGCTGGCAGAAGGACCGAAGTACACTGCTGAGGGGAGCAGCGGGCAGCAGGAGAGGTCTGCGCGCCATGTGGGACCCTCCTCCGGTGGCCGGGGAGCAGCTGGGGATCGAACTGGCACTGCAGAGGCTGCGGGCAGCTTTGCAACCCAGCGTTCAACTGCTGCACCACCAGGGAGGCCCTAAAGTTCATCATTTTAATGTGACAGAATTTTTAATTATTTTCCTTCTTGATACACATACTTTTTTGTATCATTGTAAAGAAATCCTGCTGTTATAGTCAACTTCCAAGATAAACCTTAACAATTCTCACCTTCTGATACCTGTGCCTTTGAGTAGTCCCCTTCTTTATTATTATTAGTGGAAAGCAGCAGAAGTTATACTCTTTAACTTCTGAGACTAAAACATAGAAGACATTATTGCTTTCATTTGCTTTTTAGGATTAATTGCTCTGGTAGATGCCAGCCACCATACTATGAGAACAGTCAAGTAGCACTATGTAGTGAGGAACTAAGGCCTCTTCCTACAATAATCAATGCCAAGTTACTAACCATGTGAATGAGCCATCTATAAAGAGATCAAATGACTGAATTGGGTCTTCAGATGATGCGTCCCAGTTACCATATTGACCAAAGGTGTTTTCTATGGCATTTTGAGAATGGTAGGTCATAATTTTCAAATATTATCTCCTTAAAAGTCTTCTAATAGACAAGATAAAACAATCTATGGCACAAGGAATGTTTGTGAAAGTAAGTATGAAGAAAGGGAAGAAATAAATGAATAGGGCCTCCCTGGTGGCGCAGGGGTTAAGACGTAACCTATGAAGCAATCCGCAGCCACTGCAGCACGAGTTCAATTCCTGGCCAGCCAGGGAGAACCCAACATGGCAGGACAGACCTCTCCTGTCTTGCCTGCTGCTCCCCTCAGCAGTGTACTTCGGTCCATCTGCCTGTTCTGTTCCCTGCTCTGTCTCTGGTGAATCCTCTCATGCCCCACATCTCTGACCTGTACCCCAATTCTTGTATAAAAATAAATAAATCTTTAAAAAAAAGAAATAAATGAATAAAGAAAAAACAAAGAAAGGAAGAGGTCATCCTATCACTAGTGGAAAAAAGGAAACTGGAAGAGAGACAGTTGATGAGAGAAAGGTATCTATAGGTTTTCTTGAACTTCTGTGATAAAGATTATACATAATTATGAAAGGGAATTATTTTATGCTAGATCTCAATTTTTAAAGTGTTGATAAATAAAGTTCCATTCATAGGTAAATCTTCTTCATCTCACATATCGAATGCCTCTTAGAGTCACAGAAAACATCATTCCAACCCCATCCTCTATGATTCCAGAAAACTATTGTAGCACATTCCTCTGCAGAAAAATTAGGCTCATTTTCGTGCCAAAATCTAAAGAGAAATATAGGGTAAAAATATGTCATCAATGACAGTATAATGATTGATTAAAAAGTATGTAGCATTGCAGCTGAACAGACTGGGGCTCGGTGTGAAAGACTATCCCAATGATTGTCTTCCTTGTCTCACACCACCCTCCTCAACAACCTCAGATGCAGACACATGCTTTTTATACTTGTCCATCTAACATTCTCCCAGCAGAATTTTTATGAAGTGGAGTGATCTTGGACCTTTCCTTTAGACTTTGATCTTTATACTTCCTCCTCTTGCAGAACCCTTGTCTTGACTTCAGTTATTAAACAATTCCCTTCTTAGTGGTAAAGGGCCTTCTTTAGTTGTGAACTTTTACCACCTTTCTAAGTTTCCCTATTCTCATGCTGTTACCTTAAAAAAAGGGAGATTGAGTCTGGAAAAGAGGAGTTACCTTACCTTCAGAAAATACAAATTTGTGATGAGGGTGGGAAGCAGTACATTATTTTTGCAATTAAGAGACTGAATTTTTTTGCTGACTAGTTTGATCTTAAGGAAGTAATTCAATCTCCTAAGTATTATTTATGTATAAAAATAAGAATCATAATAAGGTCCCCAAATGACTGACAAGATTGTGTGCAAATCAAATGAGATAATGTAAAATTAAAATTCTGGCATTTTAAGCCACAAATAAATGGTATTGCTATATAATTATCCTCCCAGAATTGAACATAGTTTTGACTCAGATATTTTAAGTCAATTGGTGGAAAAAATTCATTGAAGTGTCTATATTTGATTAGAGCAGCAAAATGTTATGGATAAAAAAGTCCCACCTGGGCCTCCCCAGGTGGCGCAGCGTTTGGGCACTGCGGTTCGTTCCCCAGCCGCCGGCAAGGGTCCCACAAAAAAAAAAAAAGTCCCACCTTTGGAATAGATAAACATAAGCTGAGATCCAGCTTCTCATCTCACTAATTTACTGACCTTGGTCAAGTTATCCAATTTTTCACTAATGAAATGGGTTATGAAAAATAACTTCTCATGATGTTTGAAATAATGCATATATTTAGCAAGAGTTTAATAATTAGTATCTTTTATCATTAGTAATAGTTCCTACTAATAAATTTGCCCTAAATTTCTCAAGTAAACAAGACCCTATGGCTCATGAATTTGAGTCTGCACTCACCTGACATTTTCTGTGTAAGATGTCTGATCAATCCATTGCCAGTTGTTATTCCCTTGTGGATCTGAGAGTCCCAGAAAATAAGAAAAGTTTTTATTCAGCTGCTGGACAATGAAATTCTGTAGGAAGAAAAAGAAAGGATCATTGCCAGAAATTTCCAGACTGAAATGCCCTCTGGACTTTGTGCCCTGAACCGGAAAACTTGTGTACTCTCTTAGACTGTAAAATAGTATAGTCACTGTGAAAAACAGTATGGTGCATCTCCAAAAATTAAAATTAGAATAACTATATGATCAAGCAATTCCATTTCTGGGACTATATCCAAAGTAACTGAAAGTGGGATTTCAAAGAGATATTCATAGTAGCCAAGTGTAAGAAGCTTCCCAAATGCCCATTAACATAAGAATGGAATATTATTCAGTCTTAAAAAGGAAGAAGATCCTGTCACATGTTACAACATGGATGAATTTTCACTAAGTGAAATAAGGCAGTCACAAAAGAACAAATGCTATATGATTCCATCTAAATGAGTTACCTGATGTAATCAAACACAGGAAATGGGTAGTTGTTCAATGGATATAGAGCTTCAATTTAGTGAAATGAAAAAATTGTGGAGCTATTTTTGCAAGAACATGAAGATAGTTAATACTCCTGAACTGGACACTTAAAAAACACTTAAAAAAAACATACTATAAGTCAATTGTTACCTCAATTTGAAAAAATGTAATTTTTAAAATGAAAAAAACAGTGAGGTAGAAGATTTTATGTTATTTTGTTTCTACAATTAAAAATTTTTTATGAAAATTAAAGTCAAAGGAAATACCTGCTCAGTTTCTGTGTTTATCACCACCAAATGAGCCCCCATCCCAACACAGTTCTGCTCACTCTTCTTCCAAAAATTCAGTTCAGTAGAAATGAGGTAGCAGCTGGAACCAAATGATTTCCAGGTACCTGGACAACACCCCCAAACTTTTTCTGTGTTGCATGAAAGAGAAAGGTCAGTGCAAGGTAATGTGAATTGTATTAAAGGGGTATGTTCTAAATACATAACATCCAAGGATCTGTGGCTGTTTTCCAGAGGTGTTTCTTAATTCACCCTGAATTACATGATTTCATCCATAGAATTGAGTTTTTATAAACATTCTTTAACATTCATTCCTCAATGTTTGCTAAGGCTTACCTGGAGAGTTGTTTGGGATATTTGTCCCAAAGTCACTATACACAGTTTTTGGTTTTTTGGTCTGTTCTTCATATAACTTATGCATTAAAGCACAAAATTCTCTTAAAGTTGTCAATGACTAACACAAGTGAACTGGGTACCAGATCTTCTTCATAATCTTGGGCAAACCACAGAGATTCAGGATTTTTTTAAATGGAGATGATAATTATTCACGGGGTGTTTAGGAGAATTAGAATTATGCCTCATTTACAATTCTAGCTTCACCATTTGTCATATATATGTCCTTGGGCAAATTACACATTCTCCTTGAGCCTTAATTATTTCATCTTTAAAATGGAAATGATAGCAGTAGCAATTTAACGGGAGACAATCTCAAAGTAAGTATAAAGTAATTTGAAAGGAATAATTAATTATAAACATTACCTAATAATGTCTTTTACAAAGTTTCAAGCACTTAAGAGTTTATCAGTTTTCTCTTCTTTCCCCTTAGAAGCACCAATTTGCCACTCTCTTATGATTAAAAAAAAAAAACTATATCTATTTTAATTACATGTATATAAATTTAGCGAATATGTGTATATGTATATATTAGAACATAAATATATACATGTATACATACAATATATATTTGCATGTATACCTTGATTCTGAATTCAACTCTCCCCACTCTCCACATAGGCTGTATTTTATAGTAAGGGCAGCCTCATCCTGGGTTATGTTCCAAGAACCAATTGGCCAGTAATAAAGCTAATACTTGTAATGGAGATTGGAACTTTAGAAATCAAAAAGAGAATTTTATTCATTTGAGGGGTGAGGATAATGTGAAGTAAAAACTGTTATGAACAATTCCAGGAATGGCTAGAGCAAAGTGTATGGTGTATGTTGGTAGCATTTATTGAGATCAAGAGACTGGAGGGAGAATGGTTTTGAGGGCATATCTATAACCTGATACAAACATGTATGTTTAGAGGCATCTTAAGGATATTTTAAAAAATAGAATAAACCAACCTTGAGCTCAACCTTGACCTCTCACTGAAAAAAGATAAAGTCTGGTTAAGTAGAGCAATATCTTACCTGTCATGCTTGTGCCTTCACTGAAGCAAGTTAGACTTGAATATGTGTGTAGTTCAGACAACCTGTTGCTGGTTTTACCGTATGTAAAATGATAAGTCACTGTGGAGGAATAAGAAGGATTAGAGTCTTTCATTGACATACAATATAGCCTCACATATCACAAATCTGTGCCAACCTGGTTTATCCTTAAGTGCCAGGATTCTCTATGACAACCCAATGAAGAGTGTACAGAATTAATGCTTTATATTATTTATTCCTCTTTATATTAACAAACCTACACTTTCTTTGCTCTTTCCCCATTGACCTTTAAGCTCTATTTCCTAGGGTATATGTTCTGTTTTCTACATCAATTAATCTTAGAACAGTGATGGTCACAAAGTTATCAATGAATATGTGTTGACTCGTTGGATGCCTGTGTCTCCTTGATTTTAATAATTCTGAAGTAAACATGTAGGTTATTTTGATATTTTTTTAAGTTTCTGATTGCTAGTAGCTACAGATAAACATGTAGAATAAAAATAACAACCAAGGGGAACATGATCTTTTATGTTCAAGGTGTATATAAGACCTGTTCTCTCTCAGGTCCTGACTTAATTTTTCACTGATTTTTTTCTTGTCCTTCTACTGTTAAGCTCAATATTTTCAAATTTTTCCAACTTTCTTTTAGCATCTGTCTTGGATCCTGAGTATCTGTTCCTTATTCATTAATAAAATAACTATTCTTAAACCCCCTTCTCTCTTACATTTGACCATGAAAAGTAGAGCAAAGTCTAATTTCAGTAATAATTACCTGTGTATTATTAAGACTATGAGATTTACATCTCAGAGGGAATTTCAAACATGAAGTCACATTTGCTCCTCTCCTAGACTATCCAGAAATATTTGAATATCCTTATTAATGAATAGAGAACCAAACTGTAGATTACTGAGCAAAAAAAGATCTATGACTCTTCTCACAAAATGAATTTGAAATATTTATCTGGAGATAAGTCAAATATGGAAGAAATATACCATTCCTAAAGATTGCTAATATTTTATTTGAATACTTTTCATTTTATATTGGAAAACACTTCCATAGGAATAGCAAAGACCTAAAGGATTATGGTTCCAAAAGCAATTATGGGGCCTCCCCGGTGGCGCAGCGGTTGAGCGCTGGGTTGCAAAGCTGCCGGCGACCTCTGCGGCGCCGGTTCGATCCCCGGCTGCTCCCCGGCCACAGGAGGAGGGTCCCACATGGCGCGCAGACCTCTCCTGCCGCCCGCTGCTCCCCTCAGCAGTGTACTTCGGTCCTTCTGCCTGCTCTGCTCCCCGCTCTGGCTCTGGTGAATTCTCTCACCCTCCCGCGCTTCTGACTGTACCCAGTGCATGTATAAACAAAAACGAACGAACAAACAAACAAATAAATAAATAAAAACATGCCTCTATAAAAAAAAAAAAAAAAAAAAAAAACAAAAGCAATTATGGCCGCACTGTCAGTAGAGGGCTTGGTGACTGGAGAACATGGATCACTCCTGATCACGGAGTAGAAGATGGTGAGGATGGCTACAATCGACATACATTCAAGGTGAGGTCATGACTGGGGAAAATGCTAACAAAAGCAAACAGGTGAAGTAAATTTGGGAGCAAAGCCAATTATCAAAAGACAGAGGAAGAAGAAAAAAGGGCAGGTAAATCAAGGAAGGCATGCCGTTACAAGCAAGAGCCCACATGTGAATGGGGGAAAGGAGAACATGCCCTTGGGAATCTCTGTAGAACATGACAAGGTAAGGATCACAAAGAGTAGCTTCTCCATGAAGTACTTACCCACACAGCTTATGATGAAACAAGCACTGAGGAGTGCTATGCAAGCCACAGCAACAAACCACAGCCTCACCTGTGAGCCCCACATGGCTTTCCCTGTCAAGAAAGGAAGATAAATGCAGTTACTCAAATGCCAGGAACCTGGAGCTCCTGAGAAGCTTGGAGCAGATGAAGACCCTCAGAATAATTCAACATAAAGCAAGAAAAGAGCTAGAAAATGCCTTAGAAAAATGAACAGGTAATAGCTCTAAAATCCGAAAGTATTTGGCAAAATATCCTCAGCAATTGCCATTTTCTTTTTCTTTCTTAAATATTACATTCATCTGGTCACTCTCTGTCTTCTCAAAACACAATCTTTAGTCTCTCACTTCTCATAGCACTGCATTAGTATTTGATTTTAGTGTTCTTTCAAGTGCCTTTGACTGGGAAGAATTATTCTTTCTTTCAAGTTTCCATGACTCTGCTCTGAGGTCCATCTCCTTCCCTTCAGTCTGTCTGTTGTCTATATCTTCTGGCCAGATGACTCTTAGTAGTTTTTCTCACTTCTTCTCTGGAACTGAGAAAAGGAATGCTCACCTCTACCCTGAAGTTCCCCTTCTTGAACCATTATGTGGGGGTCTTTGTGTTCAGAAGGTATAGGGACCTCTTATGTCTCTCTCCCTGAAGATGTTACCCAAGGACATGGGTAAGATCAAATCTCGGCGACAAACTGCTAAAACTCTGACAAGGCTCAGAAACTTCCAATATAAAGAATAGCTTGAAAGAAGAAGTAGTGGTTTTGACTAAAGTTTCCAGTGATTTTAAAATAATATCAGAAAAAGTAAAAGAGGAAATTGAGAAATATATCCAAAATTATTCATGAGAATTTCAACAAAAAATATTCAGAACATTTGTTCATTTCCTGGCACAAAATTTCTCTGATTCCTATTCATTCTAGCAAGCAAAATAGAAAATTTTATGTGCCCTAAAATAAATTTATTTATAGGTCTTAATTAAACTAAATGCTCCTTAACCAACTTTTACCTTGAATTTCATGGAAGACTTAAACCATATGTTGAACAGCATCATGGGGAATGAGCCCAAATCTGATTGAATAAATATAACACAGATGATAAATCAATATAGCAAATTACATAAATAGCTGTGATATTGTTCAGGAATATGATTGCATAGGGAAAATTCTGGAATCTACCTGCAAAAGTGATTATAACTTCTAATTGCATCAAGACCACTGTTGGGCAGAGTATATTTTATAATTTCCCTGATTAGGTAAGGGGAACTTCATGAATTTCTTGCCATTAGTCTAGTGCTTGGGGATCTTTTCTAACATCAACTCTAGAATTTGGACTGTTCTCTTTATTAACATCACAAATATCTCCACATTCTCAACTGTGCAGAATTGAATACTTAAAAAAAAATACCATGAATATATAAATATTGAACTCAACAAGTTATTTTCAGTGATAGTGAGGAAATAGACATTAGGACAGGATTAAAACAGAATATTTTCCTCTGGGTTGGTATGAGGGGCAACAAATTAGAAGGAGAGAAGTGGTTATAAAGCCTCACCATCTGTTTCCAGTTCCCCTCAAAATGAAGAAACATGAACTCAAGAATTGAATCACTTGATGCTCAAGGAGAAGAAAAATTTTTCTCCAGCTATGTATATGTAAAGCAAATTAAAGGCCTCTTCACTTTTTTTTCTATCTCCAATAAATACTCCCCTAATCACCTTCTGATCTTGACCATTGGCAACAGTGGGCTCCATTCTCTGTGCTTCTTTCCATTCTTTTCCCTATAACCATATCTAGATGACAGTGGTATCCCTTTGAACAAAGATAAGTACCCATTGACAGATGGTTGAATAAAGAAAACATGGTATATATAAACAATGAAATATTCCTCAGCTACAAAAAGTAGATAAAATCTTGCCATTTTCATAACATGGATGGACCAGAGGAGTTATACTTAATGAGATGCCAGACAGATAAACATTGTATAATTTCACTCATATGTGAAATCAGAGAAACCAAACAAATCAACCAGCTAAATGAGGCAAAAACAAACTTTTAGATTATAAGACCAATAACGTCTTATCAAAAAGAAAGGGAAGAAAAGGAAAAGGAAAATCAAGTAAATGTGGCCAGTTTTATGAAGGATAGGATTGAACTCTTAGTGGTGAATTTAGTGTATTAGATACAGATGCTGATTTATAATGATACACAGGTAAAACTTATATAATGTTATAATGCAATGTTATGTCAATAAACATTTATTTTAAAAAATGACAAGAGATATGAACAGGTAATTTTAAAAAGAGATAATGGCTAATAAACAGGTGGACTGTGTACAACTTCAGTAATTAAAGAAATAAAATGTAAATCTATTAAAAATTTTAAATAAAAATATTCATTGAACTGTACTCTGAAATTCTAGTTATTTGCTATTTATAAACTGAACCTCAGTAAACTTTGCTTGCTAAAAAAATATATTTTTTATATCAATCACACTAAAATCAGCCTTAATTAACTAGAAAATTTATTAACTCTCATTACTAAGAATTCAGAATAAAAGATAAAACAGGAATAGTTGATTCAGTGGCTCCACAATGCCCTTAGGACTAGGTTCTTGAATGGAAGCTTGCACTCCCATTTACTGCAGCACTGTTTACTATAGTTTAGTTATGGAAACAATCTAAGTGCCCCAAAATACATGAGTGAATCAAGAAAATGTGGTATATATTCACCAGCAGGGGTTAAAATTTCAGTGTTATCAAGCTATCGCCAGCCACTGCAGCATGAGTTCAATCCCTGGCCAGGGAGGTGACCCACATGTTGCAGCAGACCTCTTTTGTCCTGCCTGCTGCCCCCCCCCTCCCCGCAGCAGTGTTTTCATTAAATCCGCCTGTTTAGTTTCCCACTCTGTACGTGGTTTATCCTCTCACCCTCCAACTCTGGCCTGCACCCCAGTTCTTCTACATAAATAAATAAATAAATAAATATTTAAGAAGACTAGGTTGTTTCCAGGGCTGTACTCAGCTATCCATGGTGTTCTTGTCCTCCAAAGGCTAGTTCCACTCATGATCACAGAGTGACTATCAATTACAAGTCAAGTTGCATATTTCCATATTTGCATATTATACATCTGACAAAGGGTTAATAGCCAAAATATATAAAGAACTCAGGCAATTCAAGAAAAAGAAAATACCCCAGTCAAAAAAAAAAAAAAATGGGCGGAAGAGTTAAATATTTCTTCAAAGAAGACATACAGATGGCCAGTATGCACATGAAAAAAAAATTCTCATCATCACTTATTGGGGAAAAGCAAATAAAAATCATAATGAGATGCCAGCTCACATCCATGGGAATGGCCCATCTCAAAAAGACCAAAAATAACAAGTGTTGGCAAATATGTGGGGGAAAAAAGAACTCTCATACACCATCTATTGGTGGGAATGTAGACTGTTCCAGCCCCTATGGAAAACAGTTTGGAGGCGTCTCAAAATATTAAAAATAGATTTGCCCTGGGCCTCCTTGGTAGCACAAGGGGTTGAGCACAGCATTGTGACGCTATCCACAGTCTCTGGGAGTTCGATCCCCGGCTGGCCAGGGAGTTACCCACATGGCGCAACAGACATCTCCTGTCTCTCCCGCTGCTCAGTCTGCCTATTCTGTTCCCCACTCTGTCTCTGGTGAATATTCTCACCCCCTGCACCTGTGGCCTGTACCCCAGTTTTGTATGCATAAATAAATCTTTAGAAAAAAAAATCAAAGATCTAAAAAAATAGATTTACCAAATGACCCAGCAATTCCATGCCCAGGTATCTACCCAAAGAAGGCCAAAACAAATCCAAGTCCTTGCCAGACCCAGCGTGACTGCACCGGACCTGCCTGGACCTGTGAGTGGGGGCACGTGCGCATATAGGAAAGGGACCATGTGCACAGACACATGGTGACATCGGAGCGAGTGCACACTGGTCCACCCACAGCATCTGAGTCCTCACCATGCCCAGCTCGACAGCGTGGGACACACCTGACTCTCAGTCCCTGACAGCCCAGTTGGACACCCTGAAGTCATGCCCATAGGCACCAGTGCACATAAAGCAAATATGAAAGCAAATAGTGGGGAGAAAGTAAAAACAAATGGTCAAGCAAGTCCTTTTCTGGGTTTTAAAAATAGAATTCAAAAACATATATTAACCTCCAGATTTTTTTATTGGTTATTCAGAAAAACCAAGAGATGGAAACAATCTAAGTGTCAACAATGGATAAATGAATAAAGATCAACACACACAATGATGTACTACTCAGCCATTAAAAGAATGAAGTCTTTCTATTTGCAACAACTTGGATGGACTTGAGGGAGTAATGTTAAGTGAAATAAATCAGACAGAAAAAGACATACTATATGATATCATTTATATATGGGATCTAAAAATGATTTAAAACAAGATAAAATCATACCATTTGCGGCAACATCGATGGAGCTGGAAGGGATCATGCTCAGTGAAATAAGTCAGAAGCAAAGAGAAAAAATATCAAATAGTTTCACTTATAGGAGGAACATCGGAAAACAAACAAGGGATCGGGGGGAAAAGACAAAAGTAGCAGCAAACTATAAATGGGTGACATTCAGCTGCAGAGTGGGGAGAGAGGAATCAAAACAGGTGGGAAGAGCCCAAGAGACTATGATGATGGTTCACAAGTGATATGGTGGAGGGAAATTTATGAGCACTACACTTAACAGGAGAGATCAAATACTGTACAAAAATGGACAACAATATAAGGAAATTAAAAAGTTTAATGAAAAAAGAAGGCAAGAATACTATTTCAAAGGGATATATGCACTCTTATGGTCATTGCAGCCCTATTTACAATAGCCAAGTTATGCAAACAACTTAAGTGCCCAAGGACAGAGGAGTAGATCAAAAAAAAGTGGTTTATATATACAATGGAATATTCTCATTAAAAAAGTAAATGTGGGGCCTCCCCAGTGGCGCAGCGGTTGAGCGCTGGGTTGCGAAGCTGCCGGCGACCTCTGCAGCGCAGCGGTTCGATCCCCGGCTGCTCCCCGGCCACCGGAGGAGGGTCCCACATGGCGCGCAGACCTCTCCTGCCGCCCGCTGCTCCCCTCAGCAGTGTACTTCGGTCCTTCTGCCTGCTCTGCTCCCCGCTCTGGCTCTGGTGAATTCTCTCGCCCTCCCGCGCTTCTGACTGTACCCAGTGCATGTATAAACAAAACAAACAAACAAATAAATAAATAAATAAAAACATGCCTCTATAAAAAAAAAATAAAAAAAAAAATAAAAAAGTAAATGTACTCTTGCTATTTGCACTAACACAGATGGAACTGGAGAGGATAATGCTAAGTGAAGTAAGTCAGAATGAGAAAGCAAATACTTGGAAGTTTCACTTACATGTGGAATATAAAGAAAAAAACATCGGTCAGAGAAAACCAAAGTAATAAATTGCCAACACATCCTTGACATCTGACTGTAAAACTGAGGCAACCAGAAGAGGAGGGTGGAAGGATGGGAACAGGAGCGGGGCCCAGTGGACCATGGTGGAGGATTAGTTGGGTTCTTGTGGTGGGAGTGGTGTGAAAACCTACATTTTTTTTTTTCAATTGTAAGGTTCATCTTGCTTCCATTTTTTTTTAAATCTCCCATACAATTGCAACCCCCTTATTTTGACCCCAATCCCTCCCCTCCCCGCCCCTCACCCCCCATAGAGTGTCTCTGGTTCATAGTTGTTTGTTGATTTTGATTTTCACTATCTTATAGTTATTCATTTTCCTGGCCCCTTATTCAAGTTTTCTAGATTCCTGCTATGAGTGAGACCATCCAGTATTTTTCTTTTTCTGGCTTATTTCGCTGAGCATGATCCTTTCCAGCGCCATCCATGTTGCTGCAAATTGCATGTGTTTATCTTTTTTGAATGCTGAGTAATATTCCATGGTGTATATGTACCACATCTTCTTGATCCAGTTATCTATTTTTGGGCACTTGGGTTATTTCCAAAGCTTAGCTATTGTAAACAGTGCTGCTATAAACATAGGGGTGCAGGTGCTCTTTGGAATTGATGTTTCTGTGTCCTTTGGGTAAATACCTAGGAGTGGAATTGCTGGATCATATGGAAGCTCTATGTTTAGTAGGTCCAGAAATCTCCACACAGCTCTCCATAGTGGTTGGACCAGTTTGCACTCTCAACAACAGTGCAGGAGAGTTCCTTCTTCTCCACATCCTCACCAACATTTGTTGTGGCAGGTTTTTTAATATGTGCCATTCTCACTGGTGTAAGATGGTATCTCATGGTAGTTTTGATTTGCATTTCCCTGATTACAAATGATGTTGAACATTTTTTCATATGCCTGTTGGCCATTTGCATTTCCTCTTCAGAGAAGTTTCTTTTTCGCTCTTCTGCCCATTTTTTGACAGGATTATTTTCTTTGTTGTGGTTGAGTCTCATCAGCTCTTTATAGACTTTTGTGATCAGTCCTTTATCATTAGTGTTGTGTGCAAAAATGTTCTCCCAGTCGGTGGGGTTTCTCTTTGTTTTTGTTATTATCTCTTTTGCTGCATTTGTAGAGGTTTGAAACTATAAACATCTAAAACGAATACAATGATATAAACCAACTTTACCTCAATAAAAACAATTGTAAAGAAAAAATGAAAAATAGATGAAAATAGGAAACATGAAAAAAAGGCTACATATTACTTTGTTCATTTTCACTGGGCGAGGGGATTAGTCAATCCTCTCAGAACAAGGAATGGCAATTCATTGACATGACTTGCAATTTGTAGCTATTCCTGAAACAACCACTAGGGGGATTGTTTGTAGTACTTTGGCTTAATTAGTGTTCACCCAGGGAGGCTGAAGGTGAGGTCATCAAATGACTATACAACAAAAGCTTTGTTTGTAAAGAAGGAATAAATAGACCAACCTTATATGCCACAGTCTAAACATCGGTTCTTTATTATAAAGTACAATTTGCAAAAATTTTGACTGTTGCAGAGCATTTGAATTGCCATTATGTCTTCTGTCCTCCAGTCACTGAATTCATCTTTAAGTAAGTGTGCACCACTGATTATTTCCAGATTGGAAAAAACAGAATTATTAATGAACATTTCAGCATTAAGATCTTCTGTACAAAATGAACACTCCATCAGGTTTGAAGGCTGGCGGGGGTCAGCTGATTTCCACTTTCAGAGGAAACATTCAGGATGTTCAATCTGATTCAGTGGGAATCCCCAGCACTGGAGGAACCACAGAGTTTCCACCTCTTCTTCAATTTGTTAAGTGACACACTGACCACAAAAACTTGAAGTGTCCATACATGTATTTGTTTCTGTTTATTCGTTTTCAATAGCAACAACGAAGATGAATTTAGAGCCAAAAATTCTACTATATATCTTATGTCACACAAATCTATCTACTAATTAACAAACACACGTTTTCCAATAGTTCTGTACAGTGTCTTGTTCTTTACCTTAAAAAATATTTACCTAAACTTTAACCAAGAATTTTAAGAGCCATCTTCTAGAATAGTGTTCTCAAAACATTTACTGTATATTCGAAGAGTAAGAAAAAATTGGCACACAATGTTGAACATTTGCTTATTTAATAACCTTGTATTGATAATGTAATGTAATATGCCTACACTACAAAAATAGGGATTAAATAATGTAAAAAATGAAGACATATTTTCCACTTTATTCAATAATAGAAAAAAAATTATCTTCTCTCATTTTCAAATTGTTACCAATCTTTTTAGCAACATGGTGTGATTGGTGATGTTTCATTATTTGACTGTATTTCATTATTTAGCATAATCTTGGTTTCAAGTGATAATGAAATTCAAAGGTGCCTCAGTTATACATTGCTGAATGACAAGTGACCCCACAGCTTAGTGACTTAAACAACAATTTTATCATTTTCTCACATTCTCAACTCTGTCCATTGATTTGAATGTAACTGAATGCTTCTTCACCTAAAGGTCGTTCTTTGACACAAACTTTCATGAATCTATTTCACACACATCTTTGCTAGTGCTCTAGTGAAAATTACGACAGGCTCTGTCCCACATTGATAAAATAAAAGATGGGGAAAGAGCAGAGTTCCAGCACTAAGACCACCATTCTTCATTTCACTCCAGTTCAAGCACATCCTTAATTCTGATAATCAAAGGAATTTAGTGAAATAGGTCCTTTTTGCTCTTTCTTCATTCCATCCTCATATTATTGAAATAACAGTGGAAAAGTTTGTTGTAAATAAAGTTCCCAGGGAATCTCCCCTATTTGTTAATAAGTTGCTCCCTGGAAAGTAGAATGGAAAATGCTACATAGAATGCATAAGAATAGTCCTATTAAAAAAACAAACAAAAAAAACACCTAGCTTTTAGACAGTCAGGAAATGAGTGAATCAGGATAATAGGGAACCATCCCCACAGATCACATTGGGACCTGTAAGTCATGCAAAGAATCAGCTTGATCACAATCAATCTTAATTATCACACTGAGACAATGAACTACAGCCTTTCTTGTAAATATGACATATTCTGTAATATCATAGGAAGAAAGCTATCTCAGAAAATTTAGTAAGAACATGAAAACAAACCAGATGGAGGAACTACATCACATAGTTACATCAATATTGAACAATTAGAACTAGCAATCAGACAAAAATTAGGAGAGGCTTTCCATGTTCCCCCAATTTGTCTGAAAAAGGCTTTCCGTATAGTCTATGCACGTGGAAAATGTTCAGTAAATGTTCATTGTATGAACGAATGAAAGTGTCCCCTGATTCTATCACAACCAGAATAGGTAACAGTCTGCTGAAAAAGTCTATGAAACCCCTTATAAGAGTCTTACATATAAATATAAAGAGCAAATTAGTGATCTCTGCGATGATGGATGCCAGTTCAATCACACGTTTCATTGAGAATGTTCATTCATATGTAGATCTTTGTCATCTTGCAAACTGACATGTGATTTTCATGACAATTGACATTATTCCAGCCCCATTTGTTTCTTTCACGAGGTTTAAGTAGAATAACACAATGATTTTTTAAATTATTGGGTTCACCTTGGTGCCAGAATCTGAAAGAGAAAGAAAAGATTTTTCTTAGGGGCCTCCTTGGTGGTGCAGCGGTTGAGTGCTGGGTTGCAAAGCTGCCCGCAGCCTCTGCAGCTGGTTCTATCCCCACCCACCGGTGAGGGTCCCATATGGCGCTCAAACCTCTCCAGCCGCACACTGCTCCCCTCAGCAGTGTACTTCGTCAGTCTGCCTGTTCTCTTCTCCACTCTGGCTCTGGTGAATTCTCTCAACCTCCCGCACTTCTGACTGTACCCAGTGCTTGTATAAATAAATAAATAAATATTTTTTTTAAAGATTTTATTTATATGCAAATCAAAACCACAATGAGATGTCACCTTCCACCAGTGAGAATGGCACATATTTAAAAGACTGGCAATAACAAATGCTGGCGAGCATGTGGAGGAAAAAGGAACCCTCCTACACTGCTGGTGGGAGTGCAAACTGGTCCACCACTATGGAAAGCTGTGTGGAGTTTCCTCAAACTACTAAAAAATGAAGCTTCCATATGACCCAGCAATTCCACTCCTAGGAATCAACCCAAAGGACACAAAAACATTACTTCAAAAGGATACCTGCACCCCTACATTTATGGCAGCACTATTTACAACAGGTAAGATATGGAAATAACCCAAATGCCCAAAAGTAGATGACTGGATCAAGAAGATGTGGTACATATACCAAATGGAATACTATTCAGCAATCAAAAAAGATAAACTCATGCCATTTGCAGCTACATGGATGGAGCTGCAAGGGATTATGCTCAGTGAAACAAGCCAGAAAGAAATAGAAAAATATAAGATAGTTTCACTTGTAGGAGGAATATAGGGGAACCAAATAAGTTCTCAGGAAAAAAATAATGATAATAAATAAAACAAAATCAACAGGCAACTATAAATCAGAGACATTCTGCAGGGGAGAAGGAGAGAGTAGGATCAAAACAGGGGAGGGAAGAACACAAGGGACCATGGTGATGGTGCATGAGTGACTTAGTGGTGAAAATTTTACGGGGACTACACCTGAAAAGAGAAAGCAAACATTGTACATAAATGAACAATGGTGTAAATACATATATTAATTAATTTTTAAAAATTGCTTACAAAGAGTTAGAGACATAAGAGGGAGATACCAGGGTTGAACAGTGGAGGCCAAGGTCACACTCCCAAACCATCCTTTCCCAACTTGATACAGCTTTTCCTCTTTTTGTGTCTGGCATTTCCCTCAATAAGTGAGCTATTGACCCAGAATTGTCATGTCACTGCATCAAATATTCTCCCTGCAGAGATCCCAGGGGCTTCCTTCTATTTGTCCATCTTTATGTCCTGTTCCCTAGAGACTGTCAATCCATGTGCTCCCTTAAATGATAAACAGAGGGCCTCCCTGGTGGCGCAAGGGGTTAAGCACCACACTATGAAAAAATCCGCAGCCTCTGCATCATGAGTTCAATCCCCGGTGGCCAGGGAGCAACCCACATGGCGAAGCAGACCTCTCCTGCTCGCCGGATGCTCCCCTCCTCAGTGTGTTTCAGTCAGTCTGCCTGTTCTGTGCCCCACTCTGTCTCTGGTGAATCCTCTCACCCTCCCCCAACCAGCATCTCTGGCCTGTACCCCGGCTCTTATATGGATAAATAAATAAAACTTTTTTAAAAAAAGATGAACAGATTTCACCCTGAAATCTGTTTCCTATATTAGTGCTGTTTGTCCAGACCTTTTATCATCTGCTTTGGTGGATGAAAGCAGTCAAAAACCTCTTGTTCTGCTACTAGTCCTGTTACTTTGGACAAGTAATTTTAATTCCTGAATTTCATATCTAAAAAATAGAGACTAGAGTCTATTTCCTATGTATTTCACACAGTTTATCTGAGGAGCATTAAAGGTAATAACATACTAAAATGTATTAAAGTACATAAGAATTTTTACAGACTGCATAAATATGAACTAACACACAATATCAGAATTTAACTTCATTTGACTTATGAGGAATATTAAAACTTATTAATAGCTTCTGATCTTAAAAGACATTATATTATAGTTAGAGATATTGATACAGCACAGACTTGAAGTCAAAGAGGCCACTGTCATCCCTGCTGAAAAGTCTTTCCTAAATTACCTAAACTCTCCAGATTATTTCCTTGACTCCCTAGTGGGGAAATATGGTGTGTGCCTCAGAAGCTACTTGTATGATTAAACCATAATCAACAAAGTTGTTGAACTTAGTGCCAAAAAGTTAAGGGTGGGCCATTTCATTTGCACAGCTAGGAGTTGGAAGACCCTAAGAGACTTGCATGACCAGGGCTCAAGATTCCCTTATCTAATTCCATACTCACGTGGCACTATGGTTGTATGGAGTGCAATCAACCCATTGCCACTGATATTTCCCCTCAGGGTCTGACAGTCCCACATAGTAAGCATATTTTGAATTCACAGTTGAGATGATGAAATCCTAGGGAAGAAGAGAAAGGCATTAGAGCTTTCAGAGTATTGGGGTAGATTCAGGGAATAGGAAGAAAAGAAGAAAAGGGAGGATCCCAGAGAACCACCTGCCCAGGACCAGGGCTTGTCTGACACAGCAGTGCAGGACCAGACACCACTTGAGAGCTCGAACTTTGTCTTAGTCAGCTCAGGTTGCTGTAACAAAACACCACAGACTGGGTAGCTTATAAATGACAAAAAGTACTTCTCACAACTCTGAATGTTTTATGTTCCCAAAAGCAGCATTGGGTACACATGCACTCTCTCTCATTTCATCACTAATTCTTCTAAGGTGTGCATGAGAAATTTTTGCAGATCAAATAATTTTTCTTTCATAACTTTAGGTTTTTTAACTCCATTTTGACAGCTGATTGTGACTCTTAATAAAGAACATTATTTCTCTATTTGATTTTATATCTCTTGTCAGCTAGATAGATAATAATATATAAAATATTTAAATGTTAAAGCAACAAACTGATATTTCAGGCTGAAGTATTTTCACCCTCCACTTAGTCCCCCATATACTTATTTTAAATGCCCCCATTTATTTGGGGAAGACTAGTGTTAGGAAAGCTGGGAGAGGAATGCAAAGAAGGCCAGGATAATCCTCTCCCATCTATTCTATTGACAGCCTTCTGCCACAGCAGCAATATCCCAAAACAATGAAAACCTGCTCCTTGGTCATGAGAGGTGTAGAAACCCAGGCTGACCTCCTGGCTCTGCTCTACTAGAGAGTACCTGCTCCTCTTTGGTGGTGACCACCAGCAGGTGAGCTTGCATCGCTGAGCAATTCTTCTCACTCTCCATCCAGTTTTTTTCTTCAGATGCAATAAAGTAACAGTTTGAACCATGAGACTTCCAATTCTTTGGGCAGCAGCTCCATGCTTTCTCTGCATTGAAGAAGGCCACATAGGTGCAATAAGAGAAAAGTAATTTTAAAGTGTGTGTATCATTAAAATGAAGGACCAAGGGAGACTGCATGGAAACTGGAACACCCATCTCCCCAGAGGCAACAAGGAATCCCCACCTGTCCAGGGGTCAAGGAAGCCAAGTCTGCCTCCATCAGGCAGTAACAAAACAGGGACCCCTTGTCCTTGTCATGGTGGTGTCAGTAATCCCAGCCAACTAAAAGGTTTAAAAAACATATAGACCAAAGAACATAATACAAAAAAGTCCTTGTTTTGAGGAAAATCGCCCCTATACCAAGAACCACAAAGTTAATTTTATTTATTTTTTTAAATAATTTTATTTTTATATTCCCCATACAATTGCAACCCCCCCATTTTAACCCCAATCCCTCCCCTCCTGCCCCCCACCCCCCAAAAAGTGTCTCTGGTTCATAGTTTTTTGTTGATTTTGATTTTCACTTTCTTATAGTTATTCATTTATTCATTTTCCTGGTCCCTTATTTAAGTTTTCTAGATTCCTGCTATGAGTGAGACCATCCGGTATTTTTCTTTTTCTTTCTGGCTTATTTCGCTGAGCATGATCCCTTCCAGCGCCATCCATGTTGCTGCAAATTGCATGTGTTTATCTTTTTGAATGCTGAGTAATATTCCATGGTATATATGTACCACATCTTCTTGATCCAGTCATCTATTTTTGGGCATTTGGGCTGTTTCCAAAGCTTAGCTATTGTAAATAGTGCTGCTATAAACATAGGGGTGCAGGTGCTCTTTTTGAGTTCATGTTTCTGTGTCCTTTGGGTAAATACCCAGGAGTGGAATTGCTGGATCATATGGAAGCTCTCACAAAGTTAATTTTAAAAATAAATAAATATTATTTCAATACCAAGATAACAGTTACATAAGAATATTTGAAAAAAGTATTAAATCACAGAAAGATAGCTCAATAAGAAAATACAAGTATTTTGGGGGGAAAAAAGACAAAATTAAAAATGTTAGCAAAGAAATAGAAAAACTCAGGAAGTAAATTAACCATGAGGATAAACAAACAAAATGTTATAATTGAAAAAAATAAGACCCCAAACTAAGGGCTACTCAGTGAGTAGTTCAACAGCAGAATGGTGAGGACAGAGAAATCAGTGAATTGAAAGAATAACAAATTATCCAAATGAATACAGAGACAAACTAAACCATTTGAATAGATTTTAACTTTCCAGTTTGGACTGTAAGATTAAAATTACCACTCCATTCTACCAAGTGAAAAGATAAACTACAAATCAACTATTTACAGGACAAACTGCTATCTCCCAAGAGACAGGCAAATAAAGAGAATCACAACCTACTGGAGCAGAAACTTCTGTGGGAATCAGTTTCAGGGAAGGGAAACAGGAACAATAATTGTGCAATTGCTGAAAAATCAGTGTAGACAAATCTAAGGGATAAAAACTTTAATGGGAGAGAGGCAAAACTTTTTGAGTTTTATTCCCTGGAACTCTAGTGGGTTCTAAAAGTATCTGATTTATGGAATATTCCAACAAAGCCAGCTAAAATTGCTGTTTAGTTATTCTGCCCTGTGATTTTATGCAAAAATAGGTAATATGGTTTAAAAGAAGATTTGGTTTGCAAACTTTAGCTACGCTGATGAAACAATTTGGGATCAAGGTTGAGAGAACCTGTTTTTGCATAAGTTGAATCAATTTTAATATACTTCCTGTGATTTGATATCTTTCCTGTTTTGTTTTGGCTAATGCCTCCAGATGTTTTTTGTTTGTTTGTTTGTTTTTTGTTTTTTTGTTTTTGGCTTGGACTGATAAAATATTTCCCAGGAATGGAGGACTTTCGCTTTCCACATAGACAATACCTGGAGAGACTGGTTTACTTTCCAATGGGAATTCTGAGAAAAATTTTCATGAGACTACACCTCAGCATCCATCCATTTGCTCTTCAACACTGTGGAAATGGTGGCAAAAAATGAAAGGGGGGACTTGTTAGGGGGAAAGGATGTCCTGAGCTAATTCCATACAGGTTTTGTGGATGCCGCCCCCACTCCATCAAGATACTGGGATCAACAAATCCCAGGATCCCCAAAGGGAAGTTGCAAGGACGTAAGGGCAGAGTTAAACAGCCATTTTCTCTGTTTGTAAATAAAAACCAGCCATGTTAGTGGGGTTGGGCACACTTGGCTCGTGCTCTTGGCCAGGCAGGTTTGGTCTCAGTGGGTCATTTGGGATTCCAAGTTGGTGGAATGGGTAGGACACATTTAAGAATTTATCTGCGATGGTCTCACTCATAGCAGGAATCTAGAAAACTTAAATAAGGGACCAGGAAAATGAATATAAGAAAGTGAAAATCAAAGTCAACAAAAAACTATGAACCAGAGACACTTTTTGGGGGGCGGGGGGGAAAGGATTGGGGTCAGAATTGGGCGTTTGCAATTGTATGGGGGAATATAAAAATAAAATTTAATATTTAAAAAAAAAAAAAATAAAATAAAATCAAAAAAAAAAAAAAAAGAATTTATCTGCTCTTTTCTCCCTGGGTTGTACATTTCCTCATTCCCCTTCCTTTGTAAATAAACTGTTTGTTAACCTTTTAAAAATAAAATAAAAGTATCTGAGAAAAACTCTCATGATTTGGCAAAGAGAAATTTTGAAATATGTGAAAGCATTCTTTTCCTTTTAACCAGGTCTGTCCTCAGAAGAAACTATCTAACCAAAGCCTCATCTGCTGGGGCTTTTATCAGGGCCTAACTGACTAGAGAAAGGGAAATAAAACTTCAGCCCACTATAGTCACCCTGTCATACTTTATGGGAGATAATATAAACAACTGAGAAGCACCTATGAGTTCAAAACCCAGAGGCAAAGAATCACTAAAAGAATGAGACCAAATCATAGAATTAGAGAATATACTTCCCCTCTCCCCAAACATCACTCTTCGTTACTAAGGGCTTCTAACAGCAGTTCCTTTTACTCAATACATCATGTCCAGCTAATGAGACAAAATTACATGACACTAAAAGGCAAAAAGAAAAACCAACCACATAGTTTAAATAAACGGAGTAAACATAAGAACCAGACTCAGATATGGTAATAATGTTGGAATCATAACACCAGAAATTGAGAACCATGGTGTGACTGTCAAAGGCTCCAATGGACAAATAGACAATGTGTAAGAACAGATGGACAATGCAAAAGAGACACAGGAATTCTAAAGGGAAAAAAATTAATACTAGAAATAAAAAATACTATAACATGAAAAAATGTCTTTAGTGAACTGATTAGTAAAATGGACAAAGTTGAGGGAAAAAATCACTGAGTGTGAAGATACATTGATAGAAGCCTATAAAATGAAAAAGAGGGCCTCCCCTGGTGGCGCTGTGGTTGAGCGCTGGGCTGCGAAGCTGCCGGCAGCCTCTGCAGCATCAGTTCGATCCCCGGGCGTTGGCGAGGGTCCCACATGGCGCGACAGACCTCTCCTGCCACACCCGCTGCTCCCCTCAGCAGTGTATTTCTTCATCAGTCTGCCTCTTCTGTTCCCCATTCTGGCTCTGGTGAATTCTCTCACCCTCCCGCGCTTCTGACTGTACCCAGTGCTTGTATAAATAAATAAATCTTTAAAAAAAATAAATAAAAATAAAATGAAAAAGAGCAAAAAGAATTGAATTATAAAAAATGACTACCCAAGTGAGAATGGCACATATTAAAAAAACTAGCAACAACAAATGCTGGCGAGGGTGTGGAGAAAAAGGAACTCTTCTGCACTGTTGGTGGGAGTGCAAACTGGTCCAACCACTGTGGAAAGCTGTGTGGAGATTTCTGGACCTACTAAACATAGAGCTTCCATATGATCCAGCAATTCCACTCCTAGGTATTTACCCAAAGGACACAGAAACATCAATTCCAAAGAACACCTGCACCCCTATGTTTATAGCAGCACTGTTTACAATAGCGAAGCTTTGGAAACAACCCAAATGCCCAAAAATAGATGACTGGATCAAGAAGATGTGGTACATATATACCATGGAATTTTACTCAGCATTCAAAAAAGATAAACACATGCAATTTGCAGCAACATGGATGGCGCTGGAAGGGATCATGCTCAGCGAAATAAGCCAAAAAGAAAAAGAAAAATACCGGATGGTCTCACTCATAGCAGGAATCTAGAAAACTTAAATAAGGGACCAGGAAAATGAATAACTATAAGAAAGTGAAAATCAAAATCAACAAAAAACTATGAACCAGAGACACTTTTAGGGGGGCAGGGGCGGGAGGGGAGGGATTGGGGTCAGAATGGGGGCGCTGCAATTGTATGGGGAATATAACAATAAAATTTATTATCTAATAAAAAAAAAAATGACTACCCAGAAAATGTGGGAAAGACACAAAAGTTACATGGGTTTATGTATAATGAGAAGGAGAGAAGGAGGAGAAACAGAGAAAAGGACAGAAGAACTATGTAAGCAATAATGTTTGAGAATTTTCCCCAAATTAATGATACAGGAATCTCAAAGAATACCAAGCACAATAAATGCTAAGGAAATCTATACCAGCTCATCAGGTAAAAAGTAAAGAATTCTGTATGAACTATGAGCTTTAATTAATGATTTATCTCACAACGGACACAGCAGAAATCAAAAGAATAATCAGTAACTACTATGAACAGTTATATGGAAACAAGTTTAACAATCTAGAGGAGATGGACAAATTCCTACAACTCTACAATCACCCAAAGCTAGATAAAGAAGAAAAGAACACCTAAACAGACCAATTACAATTAGCGAAATTGAAATGGTAATAAAAACCTCCCCAAAAACAAAAGCCCAGGACCTGATGGATTTACAAATGAATTCTACCAAACATTCAGAGACGAATTAGTGCCTATCCTTCACAAACTCTTCCAAAAAATTGAGAAGGAAGGGACAATACCAAACACGTTTTATGAAGCCAACATTACACTAATACCAAAACCGAACAAGGACAACACA